TTTAGCATTACGTCATTCCTTCAGACCCAAATTTATCTCTGCACACAGCCCCGCAGCAGCTCCGAGCTGCTGATGACTTGTGGAGAGCTTGCGCATGAAGTTAGGCAAGGCTGACTCACTGGGCAGAGCGAATGCTTGCTGCTGCTGCTGCTCTTAGTGTTTCTGGGGGAGGAATTGGGGTGGGGAGGAGGTGTTCGTCATTTGGGGGTTAGGGGGTTGGAAAGATGTGTTGTGTTATTTATGGTTATCAATTTTAGGACCTCAAAGCTCACCCCTCCCTTAGCCTCCCACCCCCGCCAACTGGATTATATGAAAGCCCTCATCCTTAATGGTAATTACTGAGAACAGCACCTTCAGGGTACCACGGTGTAGATTCAGGGAGGGTCTCCCAAGCACTAGGTGTCACCAAGACAATGACTTTGGATTTATGACCTCACTTCATAGACCTCCCCCCCCCCCCCACACCTCCTCCATCTCTCCTGACTGACCTGTAACACATCAGCCTCTACTGTTACGATTTTTGCCATAAACCACTTGGGGATTTGCATGAAGTAAACTGGGGGAGGGGGAGGGGAAGGAATGGGGAAGGAGGTGGTGGGACCTGTTAAACCTCAGAGCTTTGCTTCTTCAGAAGGCAGATAGTCTCCATCCAGGCTGTGCTTGTTATAGAGTTGGGAGACTCTGAGGGACGTTTTAAATGTTCAAATGAGACACACACCCCCAGACTGAAAGAGATACTTCAGGGAGAGGATGGAACTGTCTAGGTAAGAGTCCAAGGTTCTTCTATCAGTAGACTTCGGAAGCTTTGCTCTTCCGGTTTGCCCAACTCCATCTGTAGGGCATACTGGCTTCATCTGAGCTTGCAGCAAAGCCATGGCTGAGCCTGTTTTCCCCCAGGTGAGGCTGGTGTAAAGATTAGCATCACTCTGGAGAAGACGAAACCCTATGCTTGGGGCTGTGGGAAGCGCTGGTGGCCTATGCTCAAGACTTTCAGGCCAGAGCAAGAAGGAAGTGAAGCCTCTGTGAATGCTAGAAAAGGCTGGAGATTTCAGTTCCTAAACGAACCCTCATGACTGCCCACTGACACCATCATCTTTCCTCTTCTTCCGCACGTGCAAGTGGCCTTTTGTGACTCTCGTGATGTTTCCTGTCTCATCTGCTTGGTGATCATGGCTCTAGGCTAATTCACCTAGAGTCACCTGTGAAAGCCAGACACAGGCTCCACACACCTCTCTAGCTTTCTCTTAACCTGCTAACTCTGTGACCTCATCTGTGGGATGAAACCTGTCTTGAATTCTTCCATGTTTTCAGGCTGTACTACTTTTCTCGATTACATGCCCCCTAGGATTGGAAACTTTCAACCTAATCGTTTTTATCCTCAACTAACAGATGTTCTGAGTGAATGGCGTTTTCTTTTAAATAATTTCTTCTCATCCTTCCTAACATATCCTTTGCTGAGGATGCAGGATGGTTGTGTTACCTAATGGGAAAGCCCAGATTAGAAATGGTCTAGCCAAAAAAATAAAGGCCTAGTCGACAGCTGAAAAAGCACAATCTCTTCTTCAGAGGCTTTCAAAAACAAATTCTTATGTGGCTTGTGAGCACCTCTTCTTTCCGGTGTCTCTGGATTTGATGGAACATCTATTTCTTAAGTATTTTTAAAGACTGGCAAAATTTTGCAGCTTGTGACCTCGTTAGAGATCTTGTTCATTTTGGAAAAAAAAAAGTGCAAGGGGAAAGGGAGAGGTTATTCAAGTCAGCACGGAACACGTAGCATTTTTGAGAGAGTAAGCTATCCATCCCAAGATGGTATTTGCTGTAGTAGTCACTGGAATGACCATGGGGAAAGGGAAATTTTTCCCTAACTAAGAGCTTCCTGTTATTTTGGATGTCGACCAGCAGGTTAAAATAATCAGAGCGGGAAGACGTGGTAGATTTGTTTACATCATTCCTAGCTTGCTCCTACAGCACCGAGCAGTTCTAGCTCTCTTGTCCTTTTTCTCCCTAGAGTTGTTCTCAACTGGGGGTGGTTTTGTGCCTCCAGGGACATGTGGCAATGTCTGCAGGCATTTTCAGTTGTCATGCCTGCTGGGTGGTGGTGTGCTAGTGGCATCTAGTGGGTAGAGGCCAGGGATGCGGCTAAACATTCCACAATGCTCAGAAGAAACTCCCCATGCCAGCAAGGAATTATCTGACTCCAAATGGCAATAATATCAAGGTTGAGAAATCCTGACCTGGACTTTGATGACTTGTTAGATGGAGGACTTGGAGGAGGTAGTGGCTGCTGCTTAATGTGCTCTCTTTCTCTAGCCTTGGCTATCAGTTACCTTTTTAGGGAGGCAAGTATTGGAGGAAGCAATCACAGTTGCTTCTATTTATTGAGTGCCTGCTGTGTACTATTGGAATTATTTCATTTAATCTTCACAATAAGTCCTATTGATGATACATACACCCCGAGAGCAGGTTCCTTGGAGTCTGCTCTCTCATTACTGTGCACATTAAGTCTGCATCAGTGCCTGACTCACTGCAGGTCCTCAGCACTATGGATAAATGGAAGAATTATATTCATTTTGTATATGAGGAAAATGAGGCTTGAAGAGTCCATACATCCAATTTAAGTAGCAGAGTCCAGATTTGACCAGAATTAGGGGTAATGCCAGTCCCCAAATCCCTTACAGTCTGACTGATATACTGATAAACCCTTTCCAGAGTAGTCTTCCTGTTGTCTAAAAGCACAATCAGAGATTGTTGGGGGAGGGGAGAGTAAACAATTTTTTTTTAATAGAAGCCCTTTTGAGTTCTGATTTAAATAATTTCTTTGTTTTTTTTGTTGTTGTTGTTGTTATTTTTTGGTTGGTTGGGGGGCCTGAATTCTGGGCCTGGGCGCTGTCCCTCAGCTTTTCAGCTCAAGGTGAGCGCTCTATTTGAGCCACAGCGCCACTTCCGGGTTTTTCTGCTTATGTGGTGCTGAGGAATCGAACCCAGGGCTTCATGCATGCAAGGCAAGCGCTCTACCACTGAGCCACCTTCCCAGCCCCTGATTTAAATAATTTCTAAACAGTACTTTTTGGCTTACCAAGTGTGCTGTTTTCCTCATTTTGCAGATGAAAAAACCGAGTCACAGTAGTTACATGAAAATATAGTGGTAGATGGATGACTGGAACATGGCAGTTTGCATGATGAATGTTCCAGTCCCTGGGAAGCTGTGGGACGTGCGGAGAAATAAGCCACTTCGAGTATAGATTCAACTCAATTACATCCTTCTCTAAACCCTGGCCAACTTCTTTTTGTCCTCTCCTGGAGGGTGATAGGCCGCGACAAACTACATCTCCCAGCAGCCATCGCGGAATCGTGAGGCGCAGGCGCGCTCTATAATGCACTACGTACTCCCGTACTACGATTCCCGGCGTGCAGTGGGGGGGGGGCGGGACTACGTTTCCCAGGGGGCAGAGAAGGAGGCGGAGCGAGCCGCGTCGCTGCTCCCGCCCCACCCCCGTGCTCGCGCCGAGAGGTAAACAAACCGCGCGCGTGCTGCAGGCGGCGCGGCGGGCGCGGCGGGCGCAGCGGAGGCGGCAGGGTCGGCGGAGAGCGCGCCGAGCCGCGGCCGGGCTGGCCCGCCCGCCCGCCGCACACGTCTAGGGGTGGCGTGAGGCGGGGTAGCCGTCTGTGGCGCCTCCTGTTGGCCAGGGGCGGGAGCGCGGTGAGCTCCGGTCTCCACCCGCGGTGCCCATGGAGCGGGTGCGGATGATCAACGTGCAGCGCCTGCTGGAGGCCGCCGAGTTTCTGGAGCGCCGGGAGCGAGGTAACGGCTGGGCGCCGCTGCCTGAGCCCGTGGGCTTTTGCTCCGCGTGGAGAGTGCGGTGCGGCTGCTGAGGAGAGGTGCGCGAGTGTGCGGGTGGAAGTGCGTGCGCTGCTGAGGAGGCGGGCGGGGGGCGGGGGGGCGTGCGCACGAGTGACAGGCGGAGCGTGCAGGGGCGCGCGCGCGGGCAGTGCGCGCGCACGAGAGCCCGGCGGGGTGCGCGCACGGGCGGCGGGGTGCGCGCACGGGCGGCCGGGCGCATGCACGAGACGGGGGGGGGGGGGGGAGTGCGCTCACGAGACAGAGGCGGGCGCGCGTGCGCGCAGATGTGAAAGAATGTGAGCAAGAGTGACAGGTGGGCACCGGGGAGGGAGTGCGTGTGAGGGCACACGTGTGAGCCTGCGTGTGTGGATGAGTGTGCGCGGGGTGGCGTGCGGGCCCGTGCGCGTGCTTGGGGGCGGGAACTTGTGGAGCGGAGTGGGGCTGGGCTGGGGTACGGGGCACAGGATGAACCCGGAGTGGGACTGGAGGCCCGCGGGGGGGGGGCTCGGAGGTAGGGGGGCAGCGTGGCGGGGAGGGCCGAGCTGTGTGGGGCCTGGGAGAGTGGGAGCCAGCTGTCAGCGGGACTCCCTGTCCGGGTGCTGTGGGAGATGTGGAGATGGAGACCAGAGGAGAAATGGATTGGGGTGCTGGGCACCAAGACCAGGAAAGTGGTGCCCGGAGAGAAAAATGACCAAGACTTGGCGATTGAAGTATTTGGAGTTACACAAACATGAGACTAAACAGACGCTAGAGAATGAAAACCGTTCAGGGAAAAGAGGAGTTGAGGGACTACCACACTCAGAAATTGAGTGCTTCAATCCAAAAGACTTCCTGGAGAAAAGGACAAATTATTTGGTTTAGAAGGTGTCAATGCACTCTCCAGGTAATGGGTTGGGTTTGTCTGCCAGGAGGGTTCCCTCGGATATATGGGGAGGTGTGTGTGTGCTGGCTGACCTTGAATCCAGAATTTTCCTGCTTCTCCATCCAAAATGCTGGTGTTCACCACCATGTCCAGCTAGGAACTGGAATATTTTTTAACCACAAAGTAGAGATATTTTGCCTCGATTCCTATTTTCAGGAACCTGCTAGACCTTCGATTTATGGAGCTGGAGATATGAATTTCTCTATTCACACCTTTTTCCCCTCTTGCTCTTTTTAGAGTGTGAACATGGCTACGCCTCATCATTCCCCTCCATGCCAAGCCCCCGACTACAGCATTCAAAGCCCCCACGGAGGTTGAGCCGGGCACAGAAACACAGCCCTGGGAGCAGCAATACCAGCACTGCCAACAGGTAGTAAACTGGGAGGTTTAGAAAGGAGGACAAGAGGGAAGGAGCTAGACTTGGAGGTGTTGGTCCTGCTGGACTCCTGTTTTCCCAAGTCTGGAGCAACACAAAATGAATGTCTTCACCACCCTGGGATTGACCCTTTTAAAACATTAAGGTCTAAGAAACACAGCCTGACTTCATGTGGAAGGAAAGGAACAAATTTGGAAAGGCAAACTATGGTTCTCACTGAGACTATTAAGATCAGATGTTTATGACTGAGCAGACAGGAGACTTAATAGCATGCATCCGTACATGTAGCCATATGCTAAAGGTAATCTTGGACCAGGTTTTCTCTTCTTTCCAAATTTAATATGATCCAAGAAAAATTTTAAATCTAAAATAGTTCTGGTGATATATATATATATATATATATATATATATATGTATGTATGTGTGTGTGTATATATATATCCAAGGGCTTTGTTAGAGGAATGAAAATATTTAGGTAAAATAGGAAGATAGTGATCCTGATCTATTTTTTAAGGAAAAGAGGAAGACTGTGTTTTTCATCTTGTGAATCGTAATATGAATTGATAAGGGAAGGGGCCTTAAAGCAAAAAGGAAAAGAAAAAAGATGTTTGTCCTTCAACCAGAACAGATAATACTTTTTTTCCAAATAGATTTCTTTGGCATATGCTTGTCTATATGTACTGAGACATAATCAACCTCCACTTTTGAAAATTTTTTGTAGCATCTGGCTGTATTTTTGTTCCAGGAAGCTATGAATCCCAAGGTGTCTTGTCATGAAGTTTTCAAAGGTCCTTTCCTAAAAGAGGACCAGCAGATGCTGCCTTTCCCATTGATATGAAGAAATTAAAGGGGACTTTGTTCCTGATTCCTTAAACTTTATCTAGGAATGATTCACTTGGAGGGTGGGCTGTCCTAGAGGCATTGGGTAGGCCTTTGGGTTGTTGGGTAGTCCTTTGGGGAGTCAGGGTAGGGACTGAGCAGCAGGGAGCTCTTGGTGCAGAAAACAACTAGAAGTTCCCATAGACATCAATTGTAGTTTGCTCATGAGATGGAAATTCTGTTCTGCATTTCAGACCTCACTGAGGCAAGGATTAAGTCTTCTCCCTTTAATTTGCCTATAGAACAGCATGATGCCTTTTTGTCTCTTCTTAAACTATTATGCCTTTCAAGCTTAAAAAAAATTTGTGCCTGTCCTGGGACTTGAGGGCCTGGACACTGTCTTTAAGCTTTTTTGCTACAGGCTAGTACTCTACCACTTGAGCCACAGCTCCACTTACATCTTTTTTGGTGGTTAATTGTAGGTAAGAGTCTCATGGATTTTCCTGCCTGGACTAGCTTTGAACCACAATCCTCACATCTCAGCCTCCTGAGTAGCTATCATTACTGGCGTAAGCCACTCATACCTTGCTTAAACTTAAAATTTTAAATTATAAAATTAACCTAAGTTTAATGTATTTATGTATTTGGGTGAATTTATGTGATTTGTTGTAGAGAGGTATGCTTAAGATGACAATATGGTATAATATACAACATTTAAAGACATAAATATAAATTTGTTAGCTCCTATAGTTTCTCTGGCTATATAATGAGAAATTATGGGCCTCTTTAGCAATTTTACTTCAGTCTACACATAGATTAAAACAAAAACTTGTTTTCAAAACTTGGAGATTAGAAAGAGTACCATTTAGGAAATGGGACCTGAATTGTGTCATACTGTAATTTCTATTTTCTAGAAACCAAGCTTATGACCACGTGACACTTCTCTTCATCCCTTAATGTTTTCATTTGTGATAGAAGAAGATGTATGAAGTCCTCACCAAGGCTCCTTATTCTGCTGGAGTTCTAAGACTCTGATAGTTTTAATTAATTATTAGAATTCAGTTTTACCCCTCTGTCATTGAATGTATAGCATTTTTTACTAACAGCTGAAGGATTAGAGGCATAAGTAAGACATACATTTCTAGAGTTTGCAAAGTACATAATGGGTCATTAATAGGGCAATCTTTGTCAGCCCTTATTCTTAACACAGACTCTGCTTAGGGTTTTGACTAATGTTTTTCTTTCATGGTAATGTACCTGTTAAGATTCTACTATATTGTGTGAGACCACAGTTCTGACCACTGTGATTTTTTTTTAAATTTTTATTTATTTATTTATTTAATTTTTGGGTCCGGTCGTGGGGCCTGAACTCTGGGCCTGGGCGCTGTCCCTCAGCTCTTTAGCTCAAGGCTAGCACTCTACCACTTGAGCCACAGCACCACTTCTGGCTTTTTTCTTTTTGCTTATGTGGTGCTGAGGAATCAAACCCAGGGCCTCAGGCATGCAAGGTAAGCGCTCTATCACTGAGCCACCTTCCCAGCCCCTGACCACTGTGATTTAGCACAGCATGTGAGAGACTTAGTAAAATCATACATATATTTTCTGATAGTGCCTGAGGGAACTCAGACCTTGCACCACCTAAAACTGAGGAAGGAAATTTCTAATGGGGATTTAAGTTTCAAGCAAAGAAGAGAGAAAGAAATCTATTTTAGAATATATTAAGGTAGATCTGTTTATGTGTGAGGTTTAGGCTAGGGCTTATGAAAGAACTAGTATATTAAACTGAAACACTAGAAATAATTTTTCCTTAACTAATTTATTTAAGATTTGTGCTTTATGAAGGAGGAGTGAAATATTAACATCTAATAGCAGAGTATTTGGGAAATAGTTTATTTCTTTTTATTTATTGTTGTTCCCATGAGTTATATTGGGCCGCCTTTAATGAAACAGGTTTTCTTCTACCTCAAGGTCTTTTTGTGTCCCCTGTTCCCTGTTGGCAGTCAGTCTTCCTCTCCCTCCTTTGCCCAGTTATCTCTGTCTAATAGCAGTCTTCCTCAACAGGCCATCGCCTACTTGGGGAAGTCGTTCTTCATCCACTGGAATAGATCAGATCCTTACAGCCTTGACAGTGTTCATCATGTTTGCACAAATAGTTGTCTTTTTAAAAAATAGTAACAAAGAGGAAGTATAGGCCTCTCAGGAGAGTGAGCAGTGGAACCCAGAACCTGTTGTCACATAAATAGTTGTCTTGATTGTTTCTTTAAAATTTGTGGCCCATTTGTTGTACTGAAACCTTCTCTGAGATGAGGATCCAATCTCTTTTGCTTTATTCTGCAGTGACAGTTTTCTCCACTACCTATCACTGTGCTCTGTGCAGTGGGCGTTTCTCAAAGAATGAAAAAATTTCAACTTTACATAGACTTATCTGCAATGGAAATTCAGAGTTTTTATTTTTTGTTGATTATTATTTTTTTTTGTGCCAAATACCATATTAGGCTAGAAGGAAAAATGATAGAAGAAAATACAACTTTTGCTTTGGCAAACTCTTCTATTTTGTGTTTTAAGGGGTGTTAATGACACTGTGTTTGCAAAGGAAAACAATACATAATACCTCAAGAATAAAATCTTGGCTGGGAATGCAACTTAGTGGTAGAGTGACTGTCTATCATGCATGAAGCCCTGGTTTCAATTCTTCAGTACCACATAAACAGAAAAAGCCAAAAGTGGTGCTGGGGCTCAAGTGGAAGAATGCTTTCCATGAGCAAAAGAAGCTCAAAGATAGTTCCTAGGCCCTGAGTTCAAGCCCCACGACTGGCAAAAAAAAAAATAAACACTCCAAATTGCCTTTTTTTTTTTTTTTTGAGATAGGATCTCATTCAACATCGAAATTCTCCTGCCGCCTGGGATTACAGGTGTGCCCATTCTTTAATTAACTATACTGTAGTAAAAAAGCAGAATGCTGTACTTTATTTGAAAGAACACTCACCGTATTCCATGTTGTGGAAATCAAAAGCTTGTCAATTTTGGCCGTAAATGTTGGTCTGAGCCTGTGCCATATACATAGTAGTTGCATTGTTTTAAGGTGACCTAAAAAGAGTAGGTAACAAACTTATGCTTGAATTTCAACTTGTTGTACACAGTGATTTCTTCTCTTTAGCCTCCTGTGGCTATTAAAGGCTCTTGCCACATCAGCAGTGTTTCAGTTCCACCTGCTAGATCAAGAATGTTTAAAAACAAAACTTTCCTCCTGCTTTGGTTTAACTTTTTAATTTTTAAAAACTTTATTACTTTCTGAACTTCAAAATGTGTACAAGGGGGTTGTAATTTAACATGTCCATCTGTGTCCAGTGCTCTGTTCATCCTTCTCCTTAGTCCATCTCTACCTATTTCCCACTGTATCACATATGCACCTTGAGTATTCTTGCTATATTTGTCTCCTTTTTCTTAGATCCACTCCACCTCCCCCAAACCATAGAATAAAGACATTTTATTTTAGAAGGAGTGATTGTATCATTGTATTTTCAGCTTTATAGCCCTTCTTCGCAGTCTTTATGGATTTTTAAGGTTGAGGAGGAGAAGAAGAGAGTGGTAAGTTATTTTTCAAGGATAATTTTAGAGAATTTTTCCCAGTGGAAGTTATTTCAGATGCGTTCTCTATTTTTATTTTATTTTATTTTTTTGTCGTGGGGCTTCAACTCTGGGCTTGGGCGCTGTCCCTGCGCTCTTCAGCTCAAGGCGAGCGCTCTACCACTTGAGTCATAGTGCCACTTCCAGTTTTCTGGTGGTTTGTTGGAGATAAGAGTCTCAGGGACTTTCCTGCCCAGACTGGCTTTGAACTGCGATCCTTGGATCTCAGCCTTCTGAGTAGCTAGGATTACAGATGTGAGCCACTGAAGCCTGACATTCTTATTCTTAAACATGTACCTGTTCGTTCAGAGAAGAACTAAATGAAGACTTGTTTTTGTGAATCTTTTTTTTCTTAGATTTTTCTATATTAAAATCTTTATTCAATTAAAAAACGTAAAATTTCAGGACAAATAAAAGGAGATTAGTAGCAGTTAAAGTCTTAATGGCTATAATATTGTTGAAGGTGGACACAGCTTCTGAGATGTGTTTCTTTGACCATAACTGAGTTCAATGAATAATTTTCAAGAAAAAAAAGTCTCACACTAAACTGACTCAGGCTTTCTATTAAATACTTCGTTGAAGCATGAGTTGCCTGTTGCTGGTTTACTTGTGGACATACCCCTCCCCTGAAGTATAGCCTTTTTAAGTCAGAAAGACAGCTGCTTCTCTTGGTATTCGATGAGAGGCTTTTTTTGGGGAACGGGGGGTGTCAAAATACTGAATGGATGGTGTTGAAGATCGCAAGTCATATAACTCAGGGTTTCATGTAGTACAGTTCTCTGTTTCACAAAGGTAAGATATTATCAGCATCTTATGGTTAGAGCACAGGTGGCCAAGAGATGAGTTCAGTGATCAGCTTAAGCCTTATGGCACAGGTGTTGATTGATTTTAACAGCAAGCTAAATCTTAAGCAGTATGTACACTACTCTAACCAGGCAGCACTGTTGAAGAAAACTTTCTTTTAGATTTCTCCTTAGATATGAAATAGCATTGCTTCCTTTTGGATATAGCATGGCTCTTTTATCATTTCTTTTCCAGGGAGGACAGTTTTCCAGATACTAATCTAAATATACAAATTGGATGGCATGCTCTTCCCAGATCCTAGTTTTAGTCTGATTATAATACTGATTGATATAAGCATGCATTAAAAAATTATCTCTCACATATTTTTGTTAGACCGCTTTTCCTTTTTTATTTTGGTTTACCCTATTTAAAAATCCCATGAATGTGAAGGCTGTCATTTTCCTTCCACAGCAGCTCCACTCTTGAGTAATGTCATTCCTACGCTTTATTTCAGACTGCCACTGAAAGATTAAAGTTTACATATTAGAGCCATGCTGGAGTGAGTGAAAGCTCACAGCTCTAGTGGATGTAATAATGCCCATCCAAGGAGGATTTCTCCCCAAAAGGGATGTTATTTGTCAGGTAGGGGCAAGATTGTCTATGATTCAGTGATAAAATGATAGAAACACCTTTCTCTGTCCTTGGAAGTTGTTTAGCATTTAGAGTAAGGATGTCAAAGAGCAGGATAGTCATTAGTATTTGCCCTCAGAAGTACATTTCATTAGAAGTAAAGTGTGTTGGCTAGCTAAATGGGTGAGACTCCTCACTGCATCTGAACCTTGCAGTGAATTTATCATAGTTGGGTGTTGCAATGACACATCATTAGAAGGACCTGATTGACACAGACTGTCAGAGAAGCAAAGGGGTTGTTTTGGGTATGCTAATGTTTGATACGTTTAATTACTTGTGGCCATCACTGTTTGACCTGTTATTTTCTATGTGTGCGTATAATTAGACTCTTTCTGCCTGCAAAGCTGCTAACCATGGTATTGTCCACATAGCTGACTATATGACCAAGATACCTGCCATGTCTTTCAATGTGTCTTACCATTGTGCATGTGTATTTGCTCGCTTGATGCTAGGCTAGTTCCAAGCATCAAAACCTTTTGAAAACCTATCTGATGGTCTCATGTTGCATACTTAAGAAAATGTCTTTTACTTAGTAGCATGCATTAGTTGTACAAGCTGGAGTTTCATTGTGACATTTCCATACATGTATAAATGCATCCTTGTCAACTTCCTTACCCTTTCTCCCCACTTCTTAAATATATAATATAGAATCTATTTTCATGTTTGATGTATTTTTAATCTTGTGAAAAATAATAAAAATAGCCAGGTGGAGTAGCACAGGCCTGTAATCCTGGCACTTTGGAAGCTGAGGCAGGAGTGTTCTGAGTTTCGGCTAGCCTGAGCTATGTAGTGAAATCTTATCTCAAAAACATAAAGTCTGAAAGCAGTAGCTAACATTTATTGAGTCCTTACTATGTGTTAGATGCTTTCACATATTTTTCTTTATTTCTTACAATAACTAGCCAGAGTTTTAAAATGAGGAAACTGTGAATCGGAGAAGTTAAATAATTTGTCCTAAAGTTAATACAGCTAGTGTGAGCAAGAGTTAATATTAAACTCAAAGTTCTTAAATACTATGAGTCTGTATGCCCCCTATACCGTGTTACCTGATTTTGCTTTGAACTTCATAGCTCTGCATTTTTACTTACCCCTTCTACTTTGAATGGCATCCTTAACACGTTCTAGACTTTACCAGTGGCAAATGTACTCCTTGCTCAGGTCCTGGATCAAATGCTATCCTTTTCTAAAAGTTTCCTTGTAGCCCCATTTGGAGGTAAATTTGCCTTTGAACTCCCCCAACATTGTACTTCTCTTCCTATGTTTGTGTTACTTTGAATTGTGGTCATGCCTATACATGTCTTAATTTACCAACTGGAAATTCTGGAGCCTAACACAGCCTAGAACACTGAAAGTACTAATACTTTTTAACTTGGTATTAACTTACCAGAACAGTGAAAATGAGAAGAATATGGCAGTATCGTAATGATTAGTATATTTGTGGTCATTCTTGTTATTATTTGGGAGTCTTGCTAAATTTTGTTAGTGGTATAACTAAATGTGACATATAATTTCTGATTTGGTGAAAAAGTTCTGTTTGAGAGAGAAAAAAAGAACCTGCTGCTTTAATTTTTTTCACAGCAGGGAGTCAGATTAAGTTCTTTAGAATAAGAACTTATTCAGTGTAATATTGGAATTCCACAATTGGTTATCTTTGTGTATATTATCATTGGCACTTTATTTTTCAATCTTTTTTTTTTTTTTTTGGGTCCAATCGTGGGGCCTGAACTCTGGGCCTGGGCGCTGTCCCTCAGCTCTTTAGCTCAAGGCTAGCGCTCTACCACTTGAGCCACACAGCGCCACTTCCGGCTTTTTTCTTATGTGGTGCTGAGGAATCAAACCCAGGGCCTCGAGCATGCAAGACAAGTGCTCTACCACTGAGCCACCTTCCCAGCCCTATTTTTCAATCTTAATTGGTACCCATGGGTTTGTCAGATTGTTGAGAACAAGTTTACAGTGACCAGAATCTACCATTTTCTATTTAAAATGTTTGTATTTATTATTTGCTCTCATATTTTATGTGTGAATTGTCTCTTAATTTTGTTTTACTTACTTTTCCTCTCAGAGAAACCCAGTTCTGTTTGCCAAGGGGCAGAGAATCTCATCTTTGATTAGCCATTCATATTTTGAAGAATGTTTTTACTTAAAATACCTTTAAGCCGGGCGCTGGTGGCTCACGCCTGTAATCCTAGCTACTCAGGAGGCTGAGATCTGAGGATCGCGGTTCAAAGCCAGCCCGGGCAGGAGAGACCGTGAGACTCTTATCTCCAATAAACCACCAGAAAACCGGAAGTGGCGCTGTAGCTCAAGTGGTAGAGCGCTCGCCTTGAGCTGAAGAGCTGAGGGACAGCGCCCAGGCCCAGAGTTCAAGCCCCACGACCGACAAAAAAAAAAAAAAAAAAAAAAAAAACCTTTAAAATATGCCATTTCTCCCTTTTAAAACTTGTTCTTTAACATCTCATCTAAACAAAAAAGAACAATCAAAACTGTTAATGCTTATATGGTGATAGAGGTTTCATTTAAATTGTCTCTTCTAAAGTGGAATATCCAACTATGTTTTTTTAGTCTTTTTGTAAAAATCTTAATTGTACACATATGTGTTTCCTGTTAATTTGTCTACTCTTGAAACTTCCTAAGATTCTTTTTTTACATTTGTTTAGAGAGAAATCCTTTTATTAACGTCTTTAAAATGAATATCAGTTTATTTTCATCCTATTACTGAAACTGCTAAGGAAGCAAAAGGTAGATGGGAGACAGTACTGGCTTGGCTACCGCACCAGTAAAATCCCCACAACTAATGAGCCTGATGCCTCTACTTTTGGCCCGGGAGCCAGGTCTCTGAGCCTCAGTATTCTCGTTAAAGCAGAGGTTGCTGCATGTGGTGGCACATGCTTCTAATCCTAGCATTCAGGAGGCTGAGGCAGAAAGATGGGAAATTTGAGGCCAGCCTCAACCACATAGTGGAACTCTGTCAACACAGGCTTAAGTGGTAAAGCCCTGAGTTCATGTCTCAGTACCACCAAAACCAAAGAAAAGAAGGAGCACAGTTTCAGGAATAAAATGAGACAGTATGTTTTAACTGCTTTGCGTGCTGTGTAGCAGAAGGTGTTCAGTAGATGAGAAGTGTCATAGCAATACTAAGCGGCCAAATGAGAAACTCGCCAAATAACCAGGGCTAGCATTTTGAGTTATAGTCTGCTAGTCTTTTATAAATGTCATAATTTTATTAATGTATATTCCTTTTCTTTCTATTACTATATTTTTCTTCCTTGTTTAACTTTTCCTTGTTGTGTTTCACACAAAAGGCAGGAATGCTTGCATTTACTTGTATCCCTTAGAAGTAAGACAAATGTGTTGCTGTTTCTGTGGTAGCCGAAACTTCCCATTTTTCTGTGTTTAGGAATAGGTAGGTAGACGAGATCTTCATATATATGTGTTTAAAAAAAATAGGATCATGTTGAAAATGAACTATACAACTTGAGGGTAGGTCTGGGAGGGAAAAACGAGAGAGTGGGGGAAGAGTAACTCTGTCCAAAAAGAAATGTACTCTTTACCTGACTTGTGTAACCGTAATCCCTCTGTATATCACCTTTATAATAATAATTAAATTTTAAATAGGATTGTGTATGAATTCTAACAATGTCTACAATCAATAAAATATAGGGAGAAGAGTAAGTACTGGTATTAATTTTATTAGAGTAGCAGTAATTCTCCAGTTTCAGAATATTTAGAAGTATTAACTGAAAACACAATATCTGAATGAATGGTCCTAATGTCTGTAGACTTTTTTAATGCATGAGATTGTAGAAGTCTGAGTGTATATTGCATTGTTATATTGGCTGGTGGTGGTATAGTAGTAGGTAAACTCATCTCTCTTTCTGTAGCCTGATTAGCAAGCATGGCTAATGTTCTGTCTTTTTCCCTTTTTCTTTTAGATCTACACACAATGAGCTGGAAAAGAATCGGTGAGTCAGTAATAAGGTGCCACTTTGGCTAGGTTTAAAATGCAAACTCACCATTTTACATGTAAAAAATAATGTAATAGTGCAAATGTAGTCATAATTTTAAAAATGTTTGGCTTAATGATCCTAAATGTTTGTGTGTATATTCTCCACAAAAAAATGATTTAGAAAATAGGCTTTTGTTTGTTTATTGTGATGGTCCTGGGGCTTGAACTCAGGTCCTGGGCACTGTTCCTGAGCTTTTCTGCTCAAAGCTAGTACTCTCCCACTTGGGTCACAGCTCTACTTCTGGCTTCTTTGGTGCTTAATTTGAGATAAGAGTCACACGGACTTTCCTGCCAAGGCTGGCTTTGAACCATGATCCTCAGATCTCAGCCTCCAGAATAGCTAGGATTACAGGCATGAGGCACTGGCACCCAGCATAAACTATCAAAACTAGAAGTAAAGAGGTTTTTAAGCTCATCTCAATGTTGACCTTATGGGTAGCCTCCTTTATTTCTGTCTTTGAAAAAATATCATTTACAATAGGCTCATAGCTTAAATATGGTCTTGATGAAGGTTTAGGTTCTGAAATATTTCATAAAGATAACAAATTGGAATGCATTGGGTCTTGCTTTGTAGTTTGTCCATTCATTCATGTATTCAACAAATACCTATCAAGCATCAATCATAATGTCGTTGCCAGGCAAGTAGAAGGCTCTACATAGGAAATATAAGAATGTTTAGAACATTTTTGGCCCTTATGGAACACAAAGCTTTGTGGAAAGTAAGACAAGTGGTTAAGATGATAATGTATAATATGGTAAGAATGGTAATGGCAAAGCAGAGAGTACTTACTGGAGGATACTGAAAGATGGTCACTTGGTTCCCCTTTGAGGAAGCCTTAGAAGCCCTGTAGAGGATGGTAAGGGAGCATTGTATACTAAGGAAACGACAAGACATTCAGTATGAGTATCAAGGATTAGAGCATGAAGTAAGCTAGACAAGATGTTGAAGAGTCTGTTTCACACTGTGTTGCAGATGACAAGATTCTTGTCCTGTGAGGGGTAGATAGCAGTAGTCCTTTAAAAATGGGTTGTTACATGATCAGATTTGGGAAGGTTACTTAGGCTTCTAAGGGGTTGGTCAGGTGAGGGATACCAGCATCCTTTTGAATATTGCAATAATTCAGGAAAGAGACAATGGCAGCCATAGATATAGAAACATTAAATAAAGACAGTGTGGAGTGGAAACAATAGAAATTAATGGCTAGATGATTTACCATCTGCAGAGAATTGGAAAATAAGTAAAGATTAAGTTTGATAGAAAATACATGAATTCTAGAGTAAAAATATTCTCATTTATAGAGATTCAACTAATAATCAGTTGGAATTGTCTACAGCAGCCCTCCCTCCCACTGTTGCTGTTTTGGGTTTTTTGTTTTGTTTTTTGTTTTTGGTGGTGGTGGTAATATAGATTGAACTCAGGTCTCTTGCTTACTAGGCTAGTGCTGTACCATTTGAGACTTACCATCAACCCTGCTCATTTTTGTTGTTTATTTTGGATTCTAACAGACATTTTTGCCCAGCTTGGCATCAGACTACTAGCCTCCAAATCTCAGCCTCCTGAGGAGTGAGGATTACAGGTGTGAACCATCAGTTCCTGGATTGTACCAGCCACTCTTGACAAACAGGAAATCATGATTTGCAACTAGAACAGATCTTACAGATGGACTGGCCTAAGTGCCTTGTTACTGGGGAGTATGGATGTCATATCTTCCTGAAGAGACTTAGCATATCCCTTCAGGAAGACTTCATAGTTTTTGCTACTTTGTTAGCACAGTGTTCTGTTCACTTCTCCCATTGTGAGAGTGGTTGTGGTTATTAGTTCATAATCTTATCTGCCAAATGACTGTGACTGCATTGGAGGCAAAGATTTTTATTTGGTTCATTGTATTTTCAGTCTGGCATTTATTGCATATATGCTGATGGCCTACTGTTTTTGTCTGTTTTAGGATTTTTGTTGTTATTATTATTATTAGCAGTCCTGGGGTTTGAACTCAGGGCCTTGCATTTGTTAGGTAGGCATTCTCCCGAGACAAGCCTGCAACCTGTAGATGGTGGCTTTAATTTTGAGTGAAGGCTGAAGTTGGAGTTCAAACTTGAGTGATGTGTTAGTGGCATAACAGTTTATTCAGTAGGGAATCTTCCATTTTAAAAGAAGTCTTAGACTTGGCACAGTAGCCAATGCCTATAATCTCAGCTATTTGAAAAACAGAGATCAGGAAGATGGAGGTTTGAGGCCAGCCCAGGCAAGAAGCTAGTGAGATCCCGTATCAATCAATAAGTCAGACTACATAGGGAAGTTGTAGTTAAGAGGAGCTTGGTCTAAGGCTAGCTCTAGCAAAGCATGAGGACCTTACCTGAAAATAATTAAAGCAAAATGACTCAAATGGTAGCCTGCACAACAAGCATAAAGCCCTGAGTTCAACCTCAGTACCACCACTACCCAAAACCATCCCAAAACAAAAACCTTTTTCCTACCTTATGTTTATATTTTTGGTATATTAAAGCTATAGATAGCTTAAAGGAAGTATCTGGTTGGTTAATTGTGACAAAAAAAAAGAATAATAGTTCTGAAGAGCTGGGCTGGGTATGGTACATAGCATAGAGAAGGTAGATAGGCTTTGTTTGTAATAAGGAGGTTTGTTCCCAAGGAGTCTTGTCTGCCTCACTCATTTATGGAGAAACAACAATTTGCCCAAGGGACTCCAGCATATAAAACATCAACAACATGGACTGGATGGGTGACTTGAAGAGAAAAGTGAAACTGAGGCATCTTCCTTTTATAGGGTTAACTGAATGGAAGAAAGAGCCGGATGTTGGTAGCTCGTTCAGGAGGCTGAGATCTGAGGATTGCCGTTCAAAGCCAGCCTGGGTAGGAAAGACTGTAAGGCTCTTAACTCCAGTTAAAAAACAAAATCCTGGAAGTGGAGCTGTAGCTTAGTGGTAGAGCTCTAGCTTTGAGCACAACAGCATCTCGGCCCTGAGTTCAAGCTCTAGAACAGACACAGGCACACTCAGAGAGACAGACAGACAGACACACACACATATGAGAGACCATGCCAGGTGTCTAGAGCTGGGTTGTTTTGCTCAAGCAACTAATCTGTGTACATTATGTAACTAAAGCCCAGTGCACATTGATATTTTATACAGTTTGCACCTATGTTCAGATTATGCCCTATAATCATGCTGCATCCACATGTTTTGCAACTTTCAGCCTCTTGGCTTCAATCAAGTTTATGAGGAACGTGGCAGAAAACATGTTATACTCACACTGAATTTTAAGTAATTCATTCTTGAAGTAATTCATAATTCCTGAAAATTTGCCACTCATGTATCTTACATTCTTGCCATAAGATACTTTTTTCCCTTTTAGTTGGGTTCTAAAATTTTGTATGCAAATCTCTCGAGTTCATGATTTCTTTTTTCTTTTTCTCTTTTTCCCCCCCTAAGGTAAATGTAGTAAGAATAGGAGATTTTAAATTATCAGCAAATGGCAGAGTAATTCCAGATGGCTCTTTTAACTAAAACCCTAAGATGGCTGAAGGTCTGGACTGGCTATGAAGAAGCAATAAGTACTAAACATTGATGTTCTGACTCTCAAAATCACAGCAAAGCCTGGTGGTGGAGATTTTGTGTCTGAGATACCCTGAGTACTTCATTTTGACCTACAATTAACTCCAGGATGTCTACAGCTTGTTAATGAGCTATTGGTAGTTTCAGAACACAGAAATTTAGATTCTTTTTTGCATAGCTTCTGGGTTCTGGTTTCTTCCTGAAACCATGTTGGTTATGCTGGGCCTGATCTACATGGTTCAGATCATTTGTTTCCTGTGTGGTAGCCCTGTCCCACAGCAGGTCATAGCAGGCCCACAAGTTGGAGGAAAAGCAGAATACCCTTGGATTCCTCAGGAACCTATATGAATTATCTAGTGGTAAACATAATGAGTCTTGGAGATTGAAGAATTAAGAATTCACTTTGTCCATTAGCTTCTCTTATGAATTTGTTCTTTGCCGGAGAAGAAACTTTAATACAGATTTTAGATCGCTTCATTGCCTTTTCATTTTCTTAATTCAAATTACTGATGATGTTTTCAACAGTCAACAACTTTAACAGGACTTTAATGGTCAAGAACCTTAGTGCTGACTGCAGGAGAGGCCATTCAGCCTTAATTGCTGTCATTCCATTGAAACAAAAGGCTTACCCTTATTACAAGTTTGGCAAAGCTAGAAAGGCTACATGAGGACACTGGACTAATAACGCCTTCCTAGGCAGAGCAGAAGTGACGGAGCAGTGTGATAAGAGAATGATGTCCAATGAGTAGCAATGCATACTCTTCTTCTTTTTTTGGGGGGGGGGGTCTGGTCATGGGGCCTGAACTCTGGGCCTGGGCGCTGTCCCTCAGCTCTTCAGCTCAAGGCTAGTGCTCTACCACTTGAGCCACAGCGCCACTTCCGGCTTTTTTTCTTTTTGCTTATGTGGTGCTGAGGAATCGAACCCAGGGCCTCTGGCATGCAAGGCATGCACTCTACCACTGAGCCACCTTCCCAGCCCGTGCATAGTCTTCTTGTAAAGGATCTTCATATACCTCAGAAGGAAAGATGACCCTGTTCATAGGATAAGCCTTCACTTTTTGCAGGGGCTGGAATCCTCCTATTTACACTTCTGCTAGCAGTAGGGATGATAAGCACATGCCACCATAACCAGTTTGTTCTTTTGAGATGGGGGTCTCACGAACTTATTTTTTGCTTCAGCTGGCTTGGAACTGTAGTCCTCCCAGTCTTAACCTCGGCATAGCTAGAATGTCAGGTGCATCCTTCCTCCTTCTCTCTCTCCTTTACTCCCTACCTCTTCCTTTCCACTTTGGGTCCTCCTCCTCCTCCTCTTCCTCCTCCTCCTCCTTCTCCTCCTCTTCCTCCTCCTCCTCCTTCTCTTCTTCCTCCTCCTCCTCCTTCTGTTCC